GTTCACACGATCTCTATGGTGTTGCGCTAAATTTGTGGCTCAGTCACCTGGTGAGATAGGCCCGTCATTACATTGTTTGCACCTGCGCCTGACCGAATCTGTTGCGCACGAAATGCACGCATTGCGCTAGTGCACCTTGCAACTTTTTTGTCGGGGTCATTTGGCACCCCACTTTGGGCCCACTAACGCATGACCAACTTGAGCCTTGATGGCGTGTAAGCCGGTTGCGAAAGCACCGTAGATCTGACTTGTATGACTCTCGGTCTACTGCAGACATGATGTATGTTTGAGTGAAGCTTTGGGCTGTGTAACTTGCGACCCACGGTCTCTCTGTTATCGCGCGCATTATAATCACGTTGAGGAAACTGCCGGGAAACAGATATGCTGTTTGGTAACGATGCTGTCTGAACTGCTTAATTACAGCGTTCCCCCAGCTGGCTCAATATACCTGCATAAATTTCGTCAGACCTAGTCGAACTTGGTTATTTTGTCAGCCTTAGTTAATCGTGTGCCTGTTTTGCGTTCTCTTATAAGATCAATGCATTACATACAGGCAGACAACTGTTGCCTATGCGGAGTAGCACCTTAGTACCGTTTACTCCTTTTGGGGATTGTCAATAGTGGGCACTTCATGTGTTTTTTCCAGGACTAAAACTCGCGCTCCTACTCATAATCGTCCACAGTATAGGGTAATGGGCGTCGACTGCTATGACTAAGTAACCGACTGTGATATACGTACGCATCCTCCACTTTCATAAGTGTTTCCAACGTGCAGAGGATTGGGTTGTCCTCCTGAGCTGCGAACTTCCTTTGCTTAACCGCCATTGTCCCATAGCATGGTAGTGCAGAATGAGTATACGCGCTATTCGTGGTCAGTTACTTAGTCGCGATAGTTGCCAATTGACGTCAACCGTGGACGCTTATGTGTTGGGTTCCAGGTTATGGCCTTAGAAATATGAAACGCACACTACTGACGACTCCCGAAAGTATGAAACGGCCGCCCAGTACTTTCTGAAAGTGCAATGGCTATCTGACTGGGGTGAATCTCCATCAAAATGTTTCAAAACCTCGCTTTTCACTGTTCTCCAAAAGTATTTTATTGGTTAGTTTAAGCAGCGATTGCGCCGATGAGTTATACAAGTTAATATTCACCCAATATGCATTATGGTGCACATAAGCGTCAGCAGTACCCCCAGGGAGCTGAACTGACGCTTCGCTACCGCTTGACCATCACCAGCGGTGCTCAGATTGGAACCTAGGCCCTTTGGATTACGGGGCAAACACCTTGTCTCTTCGACCATTAGCCGACTGTGCATGTAGACAATCAGTAGAATGAGTTAGATTGCGTGCTGCTACATTCTGTATCATAGATATTCAAGCGCTCGATAATTCTCCGTCGGTGATCTTCGACGACACGGTTTTCGGTTTTTGTGTCGTCATGGGGTTATGAAATCAATACAATCCTTCCTCGTAGATAATGCCCATAGAAATGTAAGGAAACACGGTTGCAAAAAAATCTCTTCGGTAGCTCCCATAAGACAAATACTTTTGCAAGGATAACTGGGATATGCATAAGCTGGAACGAAAGTAGCAGAATCTGAATTTATTCGGACGGAAGTTAAATTGATCGGACTAAGTTGTAAAGCCTGTGTTGTCGATGAAGGCTGATCTTATTTAACCCCCACTTGACACAGTTCGCTGACCACTTCGTGAAGCAAATTGGGTCAGCCGAGAAGTGATGCCAGCTTTGGTCTCATCAATGTTTCATGCGAATGGATCCTTATCACGTCCACGGCAACATGAGAGATTGCAGTAGCATCCTCTGCTTGCAAAGCTCCGGTTGCGTTAACCTGATCGATATCGATTCCTCAATCTTAAGAAGGCGTTTCTTAATCCCCTTAAAATATCGTTTTGATGCGGTGTAGAAAACGTTGAAAGCATCATTGGTCAGAATTTCGTGTCCACTTTGAACCAGATGTTTAAGGATGGAACTTCTGACGCTCTCGGCAGTGCCTTTTCGTAGACACCCGGAAAAGTGTTCAGCTATGCTTGTTGACAGACGCCTGGTTGTATGTCCGAGGTACTTAGCACCACAGATACAAGTAAAGTTGCTTGAGACCGTCAACTTTCTTTGCGAATACATCACTGTAAAACTAATAAATATTACTATTCCAGTGCCGAAACTAAAGGAACTAATCCTGCGATGCACCTCTAACAGACGATTCCTGTTTGATGTAATTTATTATCGGCAGACTGACGGTGTTGCTATGTGTTCTCCCCTAGGACTTTCTGGCCGACGTCTTCCTCGCAAAGCTGGAACGTGGTCCTATCCAACCTGTTATTACATCACTGGATTTCTACTGCAGGTATATGAACGACACGTTTGTTCTCTGTGATTCGAGCGCTAATTTAGTTGCTTTACTTCATCAACTCAACGGTGCACACCCGTCATTGAAGTTCATCAAATAAATCGAAAAAGTGGGAAGCTGTCGTTCCTCAAAGTACTATTAGTGAGACGGGAATACGGCTGTCTTGAGAGGAGGGTCTTCCGGAAGGATTCTTGGGTTGGACAATACACACACTTTCTGTTTCATGCCTCTGAGGTATAAACGTAACTTAGTCCGCTGCATGTATTACCGAGCCTCCAAAATCTACAGCCCGCAGACGCTAGTAGACGAGAAATAACACATAATTACAATGCTGCTCTCAAACGATTATCTCTCCTATTTTATCAAAAAACGCTGTTGTTCGTGAACGCAGTGAACCTGTCATCACAGTTCCAAAAAAGGATGTGTTTCTCATAGTTCTGTTTAAGGGTGGCATCGCTTTCGATCTACTGAACAGAAGACTTTCCGCTGCAGTGACATGAACATACCCAGCCGTAAATCCACACCTTCTTACTAAGATCACCATTTATTTCTCAGCGCCTCAAAGACAGCTTACCGGTCAAGTCCGAATCGTACGTGGTATATCACTTTACTTGCACCTGTGGTACTAAGTAGCGGTCGTCTGTCAACAAAGATAGCTGAGCACTTTTCCGGGTATCTACGAAAAGGCACTGCCGAGTGTCAGAAGTTCCATCCTTGAACATCTGGTTCAAAGTGGACACGAAATTCTGACCAATGATGCTTTCAACGTTTTCTACACCGCATCAAAACGATATTTTAAGGGGATTAAGAGACGCCTTCTTAAGATTGAGGAATCGATATCGATCAGGTTAACGCAACCGGAGCTTTGCAAGCAGAGGATGCTACTGCAAGGTCTCACGCTTCCGTGGCCGTGATAAGGATCCATTCGCATGAAACATTGATGAGACCAAAGCTGGCATCACTCCTCGGCTGACCCAATTTGCTTCGCGAAGTGGTCAGCGAACTGTGTCAAGTGGGGGTCAAATAAGGTCAGCCTGCATCGACAACACAGGCTTTACCACTTAGTCCGAATAAATTCAGACTCTGCTACTTTCTTTCCAACTTTCATTCGTTTATGCGTATCCCAGTTATCCTTGTAAAGGCATTTGCATGATGGGAGCTACCGAAGAGATCCTTTTGCAACCGTGTTTTTTTAACAATCCTCCCTATCAGTAACAATGTTGATTCACCCTTCTGTTTTGCTTTTTATCACTGAAAGCCGCATCGTACGCTTCAGTGGATACAGGTATGAGCGTTGATAAGGATGAAAAGAAAATTGCGCTTTATTGCCTAACGGAAACAGTGCATATTAAGCGTTTAAATGGAGAAAGTGCTGATTTGTTTACGTTGTGAGCAATGTGAACTTATCTATAGATGGAAACGAGTGTCTGAGGAATTCATTTGCTTCGGATCTTATATTTTCGGTGACCAAGTGCAGTTTGTGCAGTCGAATGTTAATGCACAATCGCACGGGAAAGAAGATGAAAGTGAACTCGGTTTACCTAACCTTTGCTTGGTAGGTTTGGCGGTGTGAGCATGTAGATGTTGGATGCAAGTAGATAGAGAGGAAAACGTTGAATAATTTTAAAACTGTGACTCTAAGATATACCAGTTTGTGTTTTGACACTGACGTATGGTAAATCATCAAGCCGGGCACCAACGAGAGCGGAAGGTGTGGGGTCGTGATGAAAGAAGCTTACATTCTACTGTCTAACTTACCATTGTCCACACCGTGAACCTTTGGGTCGAGAAAAGAGAAGTGCGCAAAACGAAACTGAATGAATACAGTAACTGCATCATTCGGCCACTTTGTCCGACCATTCAGACAGACAAATCGACCCGTTTGCCTCCCTCCTGGCGCCGTGTTAGAGTAACAGTATTCCGAAGGGTGTGTTTATTAGCCCCATCTGAAAGTACACGTGCTTAGAGCATCAGAGATTGAATAGCAGGTCAGATTGTGTAAGGAGACAAAGTCGTTTCATCATTATGAAGTCTTTTGTTCCGTTGCTAAGGTAACAAGTCTGGCTTTATAAGTTATTGAATAGTTATCCGTTGGGCTATCAACCAAAGGGTGTTCTGGATAAACACAATTTATTCTTCTGCTCTTCCACTCACTTTGGTCGAGCTGTGCATCTCCTGAACTGGATCGTTGTGTAAGCTTTTGGTTTACTCAAGGCCCCCTTCTAACTTCTGCACACATCGTTTGCTTATCATTCTTCCTATGAACGTTGTATAAGTGTTAATTCATTTCATTCGGTAGGCTTACATTGGGCAATCATTCACAAAAATAAATTTGTAGATCCTAGTTGTCGCACTTGGGTAAACTTTCCCGTGTCTGAAAAATGCCTTCATTACGAAAGCTAATCCAGCCATCGTAGCTGATATTTATTCCACATTGCTTGCACAAAACGTCCCTTACACTCCCATCGCCTGATAATCACCCAGGTTTTTCGGTTCACAGCATCTCTAGATCCTCGGTATAGATATGATCTTGCGTTCCCATAGCCACATTCATATATTCCAGCCTCACTCAACCTGGAACCGCCACATCTTCCCCACAGTATCACAGTGGTTGACCGTTTCTTATCACAGGTGTTGGACGAAGGCATGTGCGTTGTTCGGGAGGACCTAACGGAATGGCTACAGCGGTATCTGTTCTCCTCATCAGGAGCACTGCCTATTGATCCTCCGCTACTCCTGGTTCGTCTGCGATCCGGATTGTGGTTAGCTCGTTTGGCGTACAAACTTCATCTCTCAGTATTAAAACCACATGAGAATTCACTCGTCGGACCAAAGAAGAGCTCTGAAAATTATGGTTTTCTGCGCGGTGGTGTGTCTAATCAAAGTTTACGAGCGGTTTCCGGTTCGTCTTTACCACCGTTCCCACGGACCTTGATGGCCTGTGCCAAACTTCCTCTGGGTCCTCAAGATATCGAAATTGACACAAACAATTCTTCATCTGCACTAGACGGGAGTACCAGTTCATCTTCAGCGTACAGTTCTTCAAGCTCGCCGGATCACCCTGCGGGCCAATACAACAAAGACGCACAACCTAGATTACGAATTGCCGATCATTGGCTGGCTCGTGACAATATCAGCTGCTTCATTGAGTGGTGTAAGAACTTGGGGATACCTCAGACGGTACTTTTTGAGACCACAGGACTGGGTATGTATGGCTCCTTCTGTAAATGTTGGTACGAGTTGCTAGCATACTGTTGATAAACTTATACTTCTCTCTGTGCTAACCCTATCTTCAACCGATTTCTCTAGGCTACAGGCTTGTCATCTGACGATCCCTAACCGAATGTACTAACACACGCAGTGCGCGTTTCTCGTGACACTGACAGTTTGGCACTACTTGCTCGCATTGTGCAATCTGTTCCACTTTGCTCCGAATATTCATCACATTGTTCCTATGGTACCAGTTCCTGATATCTCTCGACGTATAAGAGCTCGTTATCATAGCCGATTTACGTTACGACTTAAGTCCACTCCTTGTAAAAGTCTGCTGCGCTCTAGCCGGTAATCGCTCTTGATCATTTCAGTTGCATACCTGTCCAAATCCTCCTTTTCCTCATCTTTCAATGAAATGTTATGAATTGAATGGCCCACTTACACTTCTTCATAGGCAACCTGTTAACAGTCAAATGTATACCTCGGAACACTCATCTGAGCGATTGTGAGTTCATTTAAAACACCCTTTATGTGAATGTATTGCCACACGCAATTTCAGTCTGGACCGGTCTCGAGTCGCGGTCCCGCTATCTCTGCTTGATGCGCGCAGACCACCAGTACGAACCGGCTGTAAAGTGCATTGTTGCGAGGACATTTTGTTGGGCCGTTGTAGCCATCCCACACTAGGGCAGTCTGTTAATTGCACTTTGTTCTACACGTTCCTCTATCTGTTCACCATAGATAGCTTTCAGTTGCTGCCGTGAGAGAGCCAGCTATATAGAACATGATAGCATAAGCTTTGTTCGTGTGTACTTTACCGTTACATGAGCTGTATCGATCAATCAAATTCCAGTTTTGTGCTAGTTCTCATAGGCGCCCTACATAAGACATACTGAGTGATGCTGATATCGTTAAATAATTCTATCCGTTCTATCAAATTTGTATGTCATTTGCTTACTGCTCAGCATTTAACAACCCAGGGGGTCTATCTGTGCTGTTTGCTAGTCAAGAGTTGATCGATCAGCTTGACAATCGTATCTGAGCATATAGTACGCCCTCTACTCCGCGTGTATCGTAGGTCACATGCATGAATTGGTAGGTCATAGATTGATAAGTCGATGTCCGCAGTTTACCGTTGTTGATTATCAGCTGGTCCACTGGAGCGGTTGGTGATGCATTTTAGGCATGGCGTAATTTTGCACACTTAACCCCTTTGTTTTTCTGGTGAAATTCAGATTTTCACTAGTCAAGCGTAGAGGCCAAATTGAATTTACAGCTTATTGGAATGTGGTGAACTGGTTGTGGATCTTCGCCATTTATCACCGACTAACCCAGCCCTACAGTATCTAGATATCCAGCAAAACAACAAACAGCTGTTCCATTCCTTCGAGACTCATCAGTAGTTCGGATTCGTCATATCTCTTCCTATGGAAACCTTTGTCCAGCACCCATCGGACTCGGCTAACGGTAACAGTCAATCTCTCCAGTTACCATACTCTGTTTGACAGGTTGGTTCTTTGATCCATAGCTTCCAGCACTAAACACACTTAGGCCAACGGTTATCCAACTTGGATAATCAACTGCCCTAATGAATTATGTAGGGTTTATCTCACATGGACTCGGCAAACATCATATACTCCTTTGAACTAGCATCGGATGTCTGTACCACCTCTCTTCAGAGGCTACGGTTGTTGTCACTGAGAAGGCGGTAAACAACGCCATTGCTGTTTATCCTCGGTTTACATGTCTACTTCTGCGGCGCTGAAACATGACTTCCTATGAGCCATAGACGTTATCGCTTCACACTTTCAACTCCGCGTACTTTCATGTAAAGCGATGTGGTCGCGACGCGCCGACCTGCGTCAGACATCACATGCGATGCAGACAATGTCCATCTTATTTCGCTTATTAAACCGTTGTGGCTTTTGTACTTGATCACTTCAACGAAATGTCTAAGTGGCTTTCATACCGTCCTCAAGGACTAGACATTTCCCTTTCGCATAGACAATCGCAGCAACCATGTAATCCAACGTTTGCGATCTCCTTTTACTCCGAACCCTGTGAATTCATTGGGCTTCGGTGTTCTCAGAAAATAAATGGACTCAGCTGCATGATAACAGCAACTAGCTGTATTTGAAGCAAACATGGGCTCATACGTATCAACGATGCAACCTTGAAAATGTTTTAAATGAGGCCTCAGCGTAACCGTGTGGGGGAGGGGCTCAGCCAAAGTGACAGCTTCATCGTATTCCGTGTGTGTTACACGTTTTTGTGTCTTTCATTTGCCTCATTAAAATCTTACTTTTGCACTACACCCTTAGTCCATTGCACAGAAGAGAAAAACGTGCTTCTCACTCTGATGGAGCTGGCTCGAATTGCCAGTCGTTTTGGATTGGCCGATCTCCCGGAACTGGTTCGCATGGAACGTGAAATCGACGCGTTGGAGGAGAAGCGGTTACTGGAGGAAAATCAGTGTCTCACGCGGTCACCCAATAATCATTGTCAGTCAACCACCGTAGCTGTGTCAGACTCTGGAGATTATGTCACACTAAATGGTGGGGGACACCATGAAATGACGTACCGCCAGGTTTGTTCTTTTCGCTCTCTTTGCTGTATACTTTATTTTGTTGTTAATTATCATCTGAACTTTGGCTTTACACCGTGTCTGCAGTAACGTTCCAATCTTTCTAACTGAAATATACACTCTCGCAACCCAACTGGATTAAGTTCAGACCAATTCATCAACAACGATGATGGTTCTGAAATGCATTTGTCTAAATCCTCTAGCCTCACATCAGCACACCAAATAAAGTTTACACCACTGAGGGAAACTGAGTATGAATTAAAAAAATCGGGTGCGTGAATAAAGCGACTTCTTGATCGACAAGGGAACTTGTTAACAGCGGGTCTCGTTCTGATCCATAAGGCCTCATCTAAGAGTGGGTACATATTCACTCTATTAGTTCTTTTTGCCAAATTGCTGCTTGAGTGACTCCTGGAAAAGCATCTTCTCATTCATATATTTTAACTCTGCTGAGACTGAATCGAAACAGCATTATCGTCTTTGGCTTCCTAGCCCATTTTGTCTTACTATTCCGTAAACTAAAGCTCCCCTAACACGACAGGTTTGATTATATCGACCACGTGTTGGGACGGTTTCATCAGCTTTCCAGTGTGCATCAGGTTTTTAACTTAACCGAAACACAATGTAATCTTTCTTAGCTTCCCAATGTTTTGATTACTCTGGCTTTTCTGCTACGTGCTTCACTTGCCAAGATGAGATTTGGAATCTCATTCGTTTCGTCATCCTCATCAAGTTCGTCGATGGCAGCACATTGGTGCTACTCTGCTGTACACCAATGGAAAACGGGTGAATTGGAGAGTAGTGGCCGTCTGCTATCATACACCAGTTCTCCGCAGTCATTCGTGGCATTTAATAGTAACTTTGTGGGTTCCAATCTTCTTTTTGACGGATGCGCACTGATGCCGATGGGCGAAACTGAAATCCGGCGTTTTTCCGGATGTTTGGTTACTACTTCGCTGTCTGTTTACCACCATCTGCAAAAGTTGCTACAAACCCCTACTACCATCTAATAAAGACGGAAAAGACATCAGCAATATGCCGGTACGCCGTACCGTCGTTTCGTTGTCACGCAGCCGCGACCAACTGCGTTTGCGCTAATTATACTGCGAATGTCTTCCGGTTCCCTACGCACGCTCTAACCGATGACATCCGGGTTGCAGGGCAGACGTCTTGTCATTTCGGCCATCGGTCTTCACCATTTAATAATCAGTAGTCACTCTAGCCGCAGCTGTTTTGGTGAAGGGAGTCGTCACTCCTGGGCCATATATATATGGCATCCACTTGCTGAGTTGAGTGGGCAAGGTGATTGCCCGAATCCTGCTCAACCGCCTCGTCAGTCAGGTTGTGGAACCTAATGTGGCGGAAGGGCAGTGTGGATTCCGTTTGGGTCGCAGCACTATCGATATGGTGTTTGCGGTTCGTCAGTTGCATGAGAAGTGCAGAGAACAACAACAGCCATTGTACTCGCTTTTTGTTGACTTCACCAAGGCATTTGATACGGTGAACCGCGAGGCATTGTGGCTGGTGTTGGGTAAATTTGGTTGCCCACGTAAGTTTGTAAGTTTAATTGAATGTCTGCACAGTGGTATGCGAGCGAGGGTGCAGCTGAGTGGAGAGACCTCGGATGACTTTGCAGTTGTCTCTTGTGTGAAGCAAGGTTGTGTCTTAGCTCCTGCCCTGTTTAATATATATCTTCATGCAAGGTTGTCCTGTGCTTTTGATGCGGCTTGTGTTTACAGTGTTCGTGTGGAGCACCGTATCGACGGTGAGTTGCTGAACATCCGTCGTTTCGGTGCGAGAACCCTAGTCTGTGAGACAACTATCCGTATGTTGCTGTTTGCTGACGACTGTGCGTTGTTTCCACACAGCGCGGATGAGTTGCAGCACATGACTAGTGCTCTGGCTTCGACAGCGGCCAAATTCGGACTCACCATCAACACAAGCGAAACTGTCTGTCTCTTTCAGCCTTCACCGGAGGTGCAATCTTCAATATTGCCGCGAATCAGCATTGGTGCTGAAGTATTAGAAACCACCTCCCGATTTTGCTACCTTGGGAGTGTGATGTCGACTGATCAGCAGCTACACAGTGATCTGCGTATTCGCTTGTCGAAGGCAGCAGCGGCATTCGGGAAGCTTGAGTACCGAGTGTGGAACAACCATCAGCTTACCATTGGCACGAAGCTGATGGTGTATAAATCCATGGTGCTGTCCGTTCTTCTATACGGCAGTGAAACATGGACGATGTACCGGAAGGATGTGCGATATCTCGAACGGTTCCATCAGCAGTGTTTGCGACGGATTTTGCGCATCGGTTGGGGTGACAGAGTTGCTGACACGGAAATGTTGCGCCGAAGTGGGATGTATGCAGTGGACTGCATACGTTTGTTGAGACACCTGAGGTGGCACGGTCATGTGAGGCGCGTGTACTCGACGCGGGTACGGAAACAACTCTTATTTGGTCAGCTGAGTATTGGGAAGCGGCATGTGGGGAAACCGAAGCTTCGTTACCAGGACATGATCAAAGTGAGTCCCACACGCTGTTATCTTGATTGCAGGTCATGAGAATCGAAGGCGGTTGATCGGCGTGCATGGCGCGATCTAATCACGAAGGCAGTTGCCGAAGTGCGGGAGAAGGACCTGATATAGGCAGAGAAGAAGCGGCAAGCACTGATGGGTTGTACTCCATCGACATCGAGAGCATGGTGCTGTAGCACATGCGGTCGCGAGTGCCTGAGTTAGGCAGGCCTAGTGAGCCATGAGCGAGGCCACTCGGGACCACTACCGAAGCGACGACGGGTCCTGCAGAGAACGTAGGCAGAACCGGCGTAGCGTTTGTAGGTACGCTGCATTCGATTTACTAACCGCGTGCTTGCATGCTAAGTCTCTTTATTTCAGGTGGTGGGTTTTCAATTTTGTCCGAATGCTTTTCTTTCTCAAATAAATGTCCACCTGTACGCTCTTCCATAAACATGCACACCTCGCTTAAGCCAATTGTAGTCAATTTCCATCACGTTTTCGTGTTTGTGGAATTTCGGTAATGTACACTTTCTGATCTCGTGAACTTATCTCGAATAGTTTTGTAAACAACTTATTTCATATGCTCATTAACTTGAAGTTTATGTCACGGTTTCCTTATGCGTTACTCGATTTATTTTCTTTGTTCGCTTTCTCTCAAGTGATTGGCTGTTGCTTGATATCCCCGATGTGGCTGCTCTTGATGTGCATGTTGACAAGGTGCCTACCTGCCTATTACCCACTACCTCGTCCATACTGGCTCTAGGAGACAGTTGGTCGTTGCTAGAGGGTACGGGGTGCACGGTCCTTGTGACCATGCTAGGCTCGAAGGGTGGTTCCATACACCCAGTGTGGAGCGGACTACGGTCCAGCAACCGCCTTGTGTGCGCTTGATTCCCAAATACAGCGTGCTTATGTTTGTCTGTGAAGAAGTGTGGGCCGGCTCCTTTGTTATTATTCCTTCGGGTTTACACTGGATATGCGGTGTGTGCTTGGAGCTGTGGGTGGTGCAGCGCAAGCCACCCATGGTCCCTCTGTTGGCGCAGGCTTCCTGTGGCTGGCGCTTTTTCACCCTTATCGTCCCGTTCCAGCTTCACTTTTATCCCCCCTATTTTTAACCCCCAATTCTCGGCCCTCCCCCACCTTGCTTCAATAGTCGCTTGTCTTTTAGTTTCAACTCACATGTGAACGCGGAGCGTCATTCATGCCCTGTCAACAGGCCCATGTAAAAGCAAGCGGCCCATTCCAGTTCATCGGCTTCCATTTGGAGCCCTCGATCCTCCTTCAGATTGGCATGCCTCAATGTTCACACATTACTACAGATCGGTCAACAGGCAGCGCCTATCCGGTGACGATGCAGCTTCGAGCACCGGCCAAATCCATGTTGGTATTGCCCTGAGTCCCCGGGCTGAAACTGCTCTGGTTGATTGGATTCCAATCAGTAGCCGGATGTGTGCGGTCCGATTGGCTGGCTCGTTCAAAACTTCGAAGTCGCGTGAGACTAACAGGTGTCTATTCGTTATCGCTGCCTATGCACCGACAAACTGTAGCGATGACTCGGTAAAAGACGACTTCTATCGCCAACTGAACGAATTGCTTCGCCACAGAAGAAGCTCGGACACTATAGTGCTGGCTGGGGATCTGAACGCTCAAGTTGGAAAATTATCCACTGATGAGCTGCATCTGGGCGGCCAACATGGTGTAGGCTCCCGTAATGGTGACGGTGAGCGGTTCCTTCATTTGTGTGAGGATGCTCGCTTATTTCTTGCGAGCACTAATTTCCGACACAGCACCCGCCGGAGGGTGGCTTGGCACCCACCAGCCTCGAACCAGCTATGGACGCAAATCGATCACATTGCTATCAGTTACCGCTGGAGAGGCTGCGTCCAGAACTGCCGCTCGATTTGGAGCACAGGTGTTGACACCGATCATGCACTTGTATGTGCTGACCTGCGGATGCGCTTTGGCGGACGCCCGCGACGATGTTGTGAGCGCAATGACACCGGCAGACTGGTGAATCCAGCTGTTCTGAACGCCTATCAAATTACGCTGTCATCCGAGTTGGATAAACGCTCACTGGATGCAATTGAAGCTCACTGGTCTCATATGCAACAGGCCTTACTAGCAGCAGGCAAATCCTCATGTGGTATGTCTAATCGCCAACATGAACATTGGGTCCCTTCACAGCCTCTGGAACTTATAGATGCTCGCCGGCATATTCCGGCTGGAAGCGAACACAATGAAACTCGCAAAGAGCTCCGGGCAAAACTCCGTGCTAGCCTGAAGAGAGACCGCGCATCCTGGTGGTCTCGTCGTGCAACAGAGATGGAAATGGCCGCTGCCCTTGGTAACCATCGTAAGTTATTCCGTCTGATACGGGAAACGGGCAGCAGGAGACCTGGTGTTAGTGAAACTATACGTGACGAGAGTGGACAGCCTATCCATAATTTGTCAAAACGCTTGGAGCGTTGGGCTGAGCACTTTGAACG